CTAAAGCACCGCTTGAGCTTGCACATGCAGATCTCTGTGGACCGATCACCCCAACATCGTTCAAAAAGAACAAATACTTTCTACTGTTTATTGATGACTACAGTAGAAAGACATGGGTATACTTCTTGAAGTAGAAGTCAGACACATTTGAAGCTTTCAAGAAGTTCAAGATGCTCGTGGAGAATGAAAGTGGTCGCTACATCAAAGCCATGAGATCAGATAGAGGTGGAGAATTTATGTTGAAAAAGTTCAGAAGGTTCTGCGAATATCAAGGAATTCGCAGGTTTCTCAAAGTCCCAAGATCCCCACAGCAGAATGGAGTCGTTGAGAGGAAGAACAGAACCGTCCTCAACATGGCGAGAAGCATGATGAAGAGCAAGAACCTGCCGAAGGAGCTATGGGCTGAGGCTGTTGATTGTGCAGTCTACCTGCTGAACAGGTCACCAACAAAGAGTGTTTAGAATCAAACACCCCAAGAAGCATGGAGCGGAAGGAAACCCACAATCTCTCATCTCCGAGTCTTCGGAAGCGTCGGATATGTGTACGTACCGGATCAAGAAAGGAAGAAGTTGGATGACAAAAGCAAGAAGTACATATTCCTGGGATACTCAGAACACTCAAAAGGTTACAAAATGTTTGATCCCGTGGAGGAGAAGTTGATCATCAGCAGAGACGTGGTAGTTGATGAAGAAGCAACATGGGACTGGACTACTGAAGCAAAGAAGAGTTATACTTTTTATCCATTCACTATGGATGAAAGTGATAATGAACCAAACACAGCTACACCTGTAACAAGTCCACCCAGTCACAGAGAGCCTGCTAGCCCAGAAGGAGAATCGAGTGAAAGTCCCCTAGAAAGGCCACAGAAGTATAGGAGACTTGAAGAAATTTATGAGGAAACGACAACCATTGAAGGTGATGAATTGACACTCTACTGTCATTTCATTGATAGTGAACCAGTGGATGTTGAAGAAGCCATGAAGGATGAAAAATGGAGAAGAGCCATGGATGAAGAAATTGGAGCAATTGTGAAGAACAAGACTTGGGAGCTTGTGTCACTACCTGAGAACCAGAAGCCCATTGGTGTGAAGTGGGTATTTAAAGCGAAGAAGAATGCTAAAGGAGAAGTTGTGAGGCACAAAGCAAGATTGGTAGCTAAAGGGTATAGTCAGAGACCAAGCATTGACTACAATGAAGTATTTGCTCCCGTGGCGAGAATGGAGAGTATCAGGATGGTGATATCTCTCGCTGCTCAAAATGGATGGAAGATACACCAGATGGATGTGAAGTCAGCTTTTCTCAATGGATATCTCGAGGAAGATATCTATATTGAGCAACCTCCTGGATACATCGTTGAAGGCCAAGAAGACAAGGTGTTGAAGCTGAAGAAGGCACTGTATGGTCTGAAACAAGCACCGAGAGCTTGGAGTAGCAGGATTGACAAGTATTTTTAGCAGAACGGGTTCAGTAAATGCCCGCATGAGCATGCACTATACTGCAAGGTGCAAGGGGGAGCAATATTAATGGTTTGTCTATATGTAGACGATCTCGTCTTCACAGGCAACGATCCTAAGATGTTTGAAGAGTTCAAGAAGACGATGGTTCGAGAATTTGAGATGACAGACATCGGTCTAATGTCATACTATCTCGGAATTGAAGTAAGTCAAAAGGAGGAAGGAATTTTCATCTCATAGAGTGGATTCGCCAAAGAAGTCCTGAAGAAGTTTAAGATGGAGAACTGTAATCCTGTGAGCACACCAGCAGAGTGTGGACTGAAATTATCCAAGGATGACAAAGGAGAGAAGGTCAATTCAACGGAGTTTAGAAGCCTGGTGGGAAGTCTGAGATACCTGACTTGTACCAGACCAGATACTCTCTACGCAGTTGGATTAGTCAGCAGATACATGGAGGCGCCAACTATGTCACACTGGAATGCTGCAAAGAGGATACTGCGCTACATTAAAGGTACCATTGATCATGGTCTACTTTATACTAAGTCAGAAAATTTCAAATTGGTTGGATACTGTGATAGTGATTGGGCAGGAGACGTCGATGATCGCAAGAGCACTACAGGATTTGTATTTTTCCTGGGAGATACAGCTTTCACATGGAGTTCAAAGAAGCAAGCTATCGTGACACTGTCAACTTGTGAAGCTGAGTATGTTGCTGCGACATCGTGTGCGTGTCATGCGATATGGCTGAGAAAGTTACTGAAGGAGTTGAATATGACACAAGAAGAGTCAACTGAGATTTATGTTGATAACAAGTCCGCCCTGGCGCTAGCAAAGAATCCGGTGTTTCATGATCGCAGTAAGCACATTGATACGAGATATCATTTTTTAAGAGAATGTGTGGAGCAAAAAGAAGTGACGCTGAAATATGTGAAAACTGAAGACCAGATTGCAGATATATTCACGAAGCCGCTGAAGCAAGATGTTTTCACCAAGATGAGGACGCTACTCGGAGTTACGACTAATTAAACTTTAAGGGGGGAGTGTTGTAATGAAATAAAGTTTAATTATTAAAACATCAAAATATCAGAACTTCCTGGAATTATGGAGTATGTTGTATGGGTGGGAATGTGATGACGTTGGAAGGACATTGTGATTAAAGAAAAGAAAAAAATCAGGAGCCACAAGAGAGAGGCGGTTCCCAACTGCCACTTTTAATAAGCTCCAGACTTTTGTGTAGTGGAAGTAGTATAAATAGCTTGTATGAGTTTGTGTAATGGTGCAGAGCAAAAAGCAAATATATATAATAAGAGTTCCTCTCTTTCTATACAATCTCTGCCAACCTCTCCTTCCATAAAATTCTCTTCCCTTGTCCAAATAATAAACCCAACCCTCCCACTCTCTCTTACAAACGTGTAACACTATCACAACAAACTCAAAGTTTCATTTAGCCCATAAACGAGCCCACCACAGCCTAAAGGAAATCATTATATTATTTCCAACAGAATCCTCGATTCTCTGGTATCATTCCCGACCGCAAAACCCACCGTCATCGTCCTTTCCAAAACTCGACCACCCACTCTGTAAGTACCCGTCATTCTTCTTCATATATCGTCACATGTACTCTCATCAGGCCGCCCTCGAAAGCACATTGATTTTCCTTTTTTGGTTTCATCTCGTGTTGTCGGTCAACACCTCTTCTTAATTTGAACTAACTTTTCTTGTAAATTGATCCGCAAGGCTGCTGTAGCCTGTAAGTACCAGCTTCCCTGAAAAGTTCCGATTTTGAATGCTTTGTTGGGAACTTGGGATCGTTGATGGGCAATTGTGGGCTTTGTTGCACATTTTTCTCAACATTCAAACCAGAGCCAGGAATTCTGCTACTCTCTTTGTATCTATTGTTTAAGAATTTTGTCTTACTGAGTTGCCCGGTTGCAGGTCGCCGAGTTTTTCTTCTCCGGATAGTCAACTGCCATGTCTGCCCCATTGACTTCTTCCAAGAGACCGAATGATCAGAATGTTATTGAATCGAATGGGAAAGGGAAGTTGCTGAAGACACAAAATTACCATGACCAAAATTTGGGATCTTCCCCTATAAATGTATATTTCAGAGTGTTGTGCTCTACTTCCAAGGTTGACTGTGTAATTGGGGAAGATGGTGAGGCAATAGCTTGCATCCACGAAGAAACAAGCTTGAATGTCAGAGTTGATGAGGCTGCAGCTTGATGTGATGAGAGGGTTGTTGTAATTGAGAGTTCTTCTAAAGAGATAGAAGGAGGTGACGTTGGAGAGAGCAAGAAGGAAGAAGGTAATGGAGAGGCTAATGTAGCAGTAGGACAAAAGGAGACCGGCAATGCAGATGACTCACAACCTGTGAAGGCTTTACTACTCATCTTTGAACGACTTGTTGAAGCATAAACAAGTTGTTCATCCTGCTCTCTAGTCAAGTTGGTTGCATCTAGGGTAAGGGTGGCAGCATGATCAAGCTGGTGACAAATGAAAGTGGTGCACAGATCAGGATCATTCCCAGGGATGAACTTCCAACATGTGCATCGGCTCAAGATGACATGGTTCAGGTAATACTGCATGATCCCTCGTGATCTACTAGTTCGATTCATGTTTCCTCTTATCTGTTTAGTTGATCTCCAAATTTGCCATATTGGTTTCATTTTTGTACCACTCCTTGTGTTTAGCAGTTATTGTTCCTTGAGCTCATTAATACTTGTGTTTTTCAATTACTTTTTACATTGTTCCCAAAAGTCAGTTTGCTGCCATGCTTGTAATATTTGTTCTCTTGTAATGTTTTAGATCACCAGAGAGATTGATGTTGTTAAGATTGCTCTTCATTTAGTTTCTATGCAATTTTTGGGAAATACCGTTAAGGATCATAATTTGGGTTCTGCCACATCGATTGGGATTTCATATCAGCCCTTGGATCATCCTCATCCAACGGAAGAAGCTAATCCACCTGCACATCATTTTGTTGTTTCACGTCGACCACCATACCCTCCTGGACCTCTTGTATACTAACCTTCCGCTTACTATGTCTTGAAGAGAATGTAGGAGGTGTCTTTGGGAGAGGAGGATATTTAATAAAGGGGCTCCAGCTAGAAACAGGTTATGAGATTAAAGTTATGGAAGTTGTCCCAGATTGTGCAGACTGTTTGATAGTTGTCTCTGGTTTAGTGGTATGGTCTCTGGCACGTTCATCTTTTCAATCCCATCCTCCTTTTTTATTGGTTCAGTCATTTATTTTTACTGGCAATATATTTACCCTATTTCCAGGATTTGTTTCCTTTATGATCATTCTCCTTTTATGCATAATCTTCACTCTTCACCTCAACTTGCTTATAGGTAACGTATCTCTTTTATGTATGAATAATTCGATTTTACATATTGGATTGGTATTCAGATTGCGTAGTTGTTGTATCTCTTAACTTCTCATTGTTGCCAATTGGATGTCAGATTTCTTATGAAAAATTACCCTCAGTGACCCAAAGCCTGGAGCAACAGAGACCATTATCATCATATCCGGGACACCCGAACAGACAAATGCTGCACAATGTCTTATCCAAGCCTTTGTGATGAGTGAAGTCTGCTTGAGCATTCCAGTTCAGTTTCCGTCAACAGAAGAAGTGAGTATTACGTCTGCTACTAGATGTTTTCCTGGTTCACACAACATCCAATATGGGCTTCACCTATTTATGTTGCCGCTCTTTAAGGATAGTCAATTACTTACCTGCAAGTTCGTCGTTATATAAGTAGAAGCTCTGACATAGTAAAGAAGGCTACAACAAGATTTAATGTTCCGAAAACTACTAGGCACTATAGCACACAAAATGAGTGCCCAAATTCTTTCCTCTCAATCCTAAGAACGAATTATTAGGAATGAGTGTAAAGATACTATAGTAAGTTTCTTTCTTATTCACCACTTTTGAAAGGTTGGTATGTTTTCACAGACTGGATCAGGCCTTCCACAGATCCGACTGCAGCGACAAGGGACACTACCAGGCATGTCCAGCTCAATATTTTCAGCCACGTCCAGGTGATGGAGTACTTGGGAATCTTGGCTCTTGCAATGTACATCTCTATGGGGAAATACACGGTCAACGGCCAGAACGATGCTGCCCCAATGAGCCCCAGAAAGTCGTTGAAGAACGGGAAGATCATCGCGAGGACAACCGTCACCACCACGTATGCAGACCTCCAGACAAGCCTGAACAAGTTGAAATAGATGGCCCCGATGAATGGCACGGTGATCGGGTGCTCCCTGGTGATGAACTTGTTTTCGGGCCATTTTTTCTGGCAGTTGCTCTCCACAAAGCTGAATATCGGCTGGCAGAAGACCTGTAGAAAGCAACAAGTTAGTTCTTTCTTATGGTCCGACTGAGCCAGTGTATGGAGAAAATGGTAGTAGGGGAAGAGGGTTTTGTTATACCTGGTAGGCGCCTACGAGGTGAATTGCGATGCAGATGTTGGCGATATCGATCAACCAAAAAGGCTCGTAGAACCCGAACCCAGTTAGGAAATTGCCCGGGGCGTTGTTGCCAAATGCAGCGTAGCCGACACAACCGCACAGGACGTAGAAAACGGTGGTGGTCGTGATCCCGGCAAGACTTGCCCTTTTCATTTCCTTGTTCTCCGGTGGGCTTGATCTCAGGGTGTCCTGCAAGCCAATTCGAGAGCACAACATATATCAGCCTTTCAGAAGATCAAGAGACGAAAACATGTCTAGTTTCTGTTGGAGGGAGAGGACGAGTCCAATCCATCGCATTCGAAGGCCCAAACAAAATCCGGCAAAGAAGGTGGGCCCGCCCAATTGCTATGGTGGACGGTGCATGGCGAATCTGCTGGTGGCCCATCAAATTCCAAAGGTAAGTTACAAGAGATGCGGCTAAATGCAGGACTCCTACTTTATATAAATAAATAAATGGTCCATCAATTATCCTTCTTCACGTGATTCATCAATCAAGTAGTGGGCTACGCGCTACTACAACCATGAAGATGATTGAAGATCTGTTATAATAAAGAGATAGCATAGACGCGTGGCGAGAGGAGGAAAAATATGACAAAATTGGTTGGGTTGGGTTTGGTCCCTCACCCTAGACTTGACGATATGTGGATGGTCACAGTTCATCAGAAAAGCTTATTAGAAGAAGAAGAAGTAAATCATCTGTTTGATGACAAGTGCAAGTTGACAAGTCCCAAGGCTTCATTTTGTTTCTGGTCCTGGCTCCTCCTCCTACCTAAAGAAAGGGATTTCAAGACCATTCTTCCGTAGCTAGGGCTGTAAGTGTAAGTGTGAAGGAAGGTTTCAGAAAAGATTTTGACAGCTAGGCTTTTTGGAAAGTGATTAGGAATATTTGACTTTAACTACCTTTTTCCACTGTTATTTTCAACTACCTAGCTAATAACTGTAACTTTTGAGCTATTTAGGAATATTAGACTTTAACTACATTGCCCACAGATCTTGGGCCGTGAATTCAGCAGGCAGAGGCAGGGACACAGATAATAAGTGGCCGGTGAATGCCAAGCAGAGACAGAGAATGGCCATGTCCATTCATGACGATGAGAATAATTAAATATGACCAATGTTAAGGTTGATGTGGTGGCACACATTTCTATATGAGCCCTCGAATCGGTTCTTTTATTTCATTCCAATTCTTATGTTTACCGTTTGCATTGATCATCCATAATTCTGTAAATACCAACAATTTCAATCAACACGTACAAGTAGGTAAATCTTTCGTTCCATCTAGTCTCCCCATGTGCCATAATATGTACGACTTTATTTCCTTCTCTAAGCACATGATATATATTTAATATTTCTCATTCTCAATTTTTTTTTTTTCAGAAGCATTTTCAACTCGCTAGTACTTTGCTTTCCATTTTTTGACCTACCTATCCTACAGTACTATGGAGCAGAGGTTGGAGCAAATTTTAAGTCGGAAATTATTGGATGCCTTAGCTAGCTATCTAGATGAATGTTAGGTTAGGTGATTAGTCCATCACTATCCGGCGACGGAGACTCCAATACTGAAGAAATTATATTCTTACTCGGTTAGGTATTTTATTAGGACCACCACTCTCATCTTTAACCTTGCATGTGAGCTTAATCATAATATATCAAAGCAACAAAGGCCAGCTGAGACAACAACAAAAAAGGCTTATACACAACACACGTATATTATACAGAACCCGTGATTTCAGTGTCCCTTTCTGTACCCGTTGGAGTAAGGTTAAAGACTTAAGCTTATCAATGAAGTAGGTAGGAACTAGGAAGTATATAAGTTGATGATGAACTTGCCTGGATTTCGATGAGAATGGTGGAGTAGGCATAAGCAAAGGCAATGTCCCCAATGGCTTGGAACGTTCTCCACACTTTCTGCGCCGCCGTCACCTCCACCCCTACCGTCACTCCCGTCAACGTCGTCCGGACTCCCTTCCGGTCGCCTCCTAGAATCCAATAACATTTTTAATTATCATACTAGCCTAGTTACTGATCATTCTAATTATTAAGCAGGTTTAATAATAATAATTACCTGCAACCGTGGCGACGGAGAGGCCCAGCCCAATAATGGAGTAGGCGAAAGACATGACGGCCGCCAGAATGGAGAGCCACGACAGGTTGTGGAAGTTTGGGATCTGGCTAAGCACCAACTGGATGCACCCGAAGATCGCCATGTACGGCGTGTTCGACACGTGGCACTTGTCCGCCCCGTGCCCTTCCTTGTGGAAGCAATTCGATCTCTTCACCGCCCTATAAAGTATAAGCAACGCCACACGTCACAAAATAAAGTAAAAAGAAAATTTTATCCATATGGTTGGCAGCTAATTAATAAGGTAGCAATCTTACACGATGCTTATGGAGGCGGTGATGGTGTAGCCGACGGTGATGCCGACGAGGTTGCCGTACTGGGCCAGGCCGCAGAGCTGGACCTTGCGGCCGCCCAAGTGGGCCCGGACGGCGTCCATGTAGGTGTAGTTGCGGTGGCCCGTGACGGGGTCCGGGGAGCGGTAGGCGTCGGCGAGGAGGGTGGAGGTGAAGAAAGTGATGAAGGAGAATGCCATGAGGACGACCGGTCCGGCCACCCAGCCCAGTTGCGCTATGGCCCAAGCCAGGGACAGCACCCCGGACCCTATCACCGCCGTTATGATGTGCGCGCTCCCAGTCACCCATGTCCCTGCAACGTTTCGTTATATATATATATATAAAAAAAGGAGTTAATTAATTGTTGTTAGCTAGGTAACGTGGTGATTAAACTAATTAATTGGTAATAACTAGTTACCCGTTCGCTTGGGGCGGCCGTCGTCGTCGAGGGCCTTGCGGGAATCGAATTGGACGGCGCCGTTATTGTTGGTGGTGTAGGCTTCGGGGTCTTGATGGTGGTGGTGTTGTTCTAAGTTCATGGCGGTGCTGGGATTCGACATCTTCTCATACAATCAGTTGCAGCTTTTTTTTCTTTTTCTTCTAGCTTTTAGTGGTCACCTGGATTTGCAGGGAAGAAGAAGAGGAGGTGGGAGGCAGAGAGTGATGGGAGTTATTATGGTAAAAGGAGCACGGTGGGCAGGGACAGTGAGAGTGAGAGTAAGAGAGAGCAATTGGAGGAACGTAACGTGGTGTTATATATAGAGAATGAAGGCGAGCTAGCTCCCAAACTACTTTAACATTTCGTTTGCTTTATATGAGATAAAAAATAATATGTGTCGTCAATAGTACTATTGACTAGTTTTTGAGGTCGTGGCACTAATATGTGAAAGATCAACAACGATATTTGATATAATATTTATATTTTGACTAGTTTTGAAAGCAGATACTATATTTAAGATTTCTAACGATTTTAAGTAGAATTGTTTTAAGAAGTTACTTAGTTTGATGAAGTTATATTACATTACATGGTTTTGTTGATGTCGACGGTAATTATGTAACTGAAAGTTTGCATGCATATTTAAAAATTTAATTATTTATTTTATGCACATTATAATTATAAAATGATTAAAAATAAATTATATTGATAAGAATTATTTAAGTAGGTGTTTTTTCTTTTTTTGTTTTCATTAGAGAGAACAGTAGTGTGCATAACTAATCATTTAAAGACAAAATCCAAGATTACTTAAGTATATCCCTGGGAGGTAGAATTTCAAAACTGACTAATTAACGGGCCTTGATTACGGTAGGTAGCTAGCAGTCAAACTTGAAAAGGCAGGCAGCATCCATGCCATATTGCCATGTGATTCTTCTCCGCAACCTTATTAGCTGATTGCCACGTATCCGACCAAAACAACCAATTTACTGTTTTCCTTGTTAATTAATGATAATTTCCCCCCGCTGTAGTCACTACTATTTGCCTATTTTAAGCTCAAAGCATTATTGGTTTAAGGATACGTAGCACAGTCTATAACTGCCAAGTGCTTGGAGTCAATCTCAGCTTTGTGACTACTCCATCTGCTATTTCTCATCCCTTTAATTTTGTGGTAGTTAATTTATTTCTAATCAAAGCAAAAACAAAGGGTGGTCCATAAAATTTTTAAATAGAGGGTGCAAATTTTTATTTAATATCAACAAATTTGATGTTCTGTATTGCTTTTGAGTCTCGAGTTCAAGTTTAATCCTCAAAGCCTATATTATTCGGGAAATTCTATTTAAAACTACTGACAAAGTTATATAAACTGGAATTGCCCGTTCTTATTAGCTTTCCAAATATTTCTAGGAACCAGACTAGCCAAGGACCTTTTTTTTGTGTGGTCATAAACAAAAATGGAAGAAAAGTGGGGAGATGAGACATAGCATGCTTTTTGCTGCCGCAGCCCTCGTGGGTTGGGGAGGATGATATTGATATGTCATATTATCGTATCTATGAATTCCACCTTTCATAACAGCATGTTCATCAGTCTCCAACTTATTTATTGAAATGATTAAGATGCACATGCGTGTTGCATACCTATGATACCCTGGAATGAAGGGTTGTGTTATTTGTAGTCCTATCATATAGAGTCGTTTGGATGAGGAATTTAACGGATTAATTTGATCTAATTGTTTTGTTTTGTTTTGAAACAATCGGTTCAAATTTATCCATTTGACAACACATAATTTAGATGAAGCAATTCTGCCTGGGAAAATTGACACATGTTGAGGCAATTACAATTATCTGAGGCGGGAGCAGACAATTCGAACTGACTCGTTTTAAGTTACTCATTTTATAAAGTGAGGCAATTACATTTTATTTGTTGTTAATACTTAATCTGGTATAACATTTTCTAAAAAAGATCATTCCAAACCTAAAATTAAGAATTCCAAAATTTTATGAATGTTCAAAATGATAGGCAAGTTTTAACGTACTTTTTGGTTGATCATAAATTCTAACAATCAACCTTTTTAGCATAGTGCGTTATGGCACTTGCTAATGTGGATAACACAACTTTGCCTCGCATTTAAAACTCTCACTTTTGGTCTTATAATAATATTATAGAGCCATCTCTTTTTTTCTTTTTTATATAATACTTCGCATACTAAACACGTATAAAATGTATAATAAATATATTTTACAAATTGAATTGATCATTTAATAAATTTTATAGATAAGCTATAATTGATTTGCCAAATCTTTCAAACTTTTCAAATTATTTGCGAACCCTTCAAAATACAAAATTTTAGCCAAATTTTTTTTTTATAATGGTGAAATAAATTAAATCAAATCAAAGGAACAAACAGACAATCCGAAAAACAAAAAGCAGCAAGCAGCAAACACAGGCCGCAACAGCTGAAAAACACAACCAGCTAGAGGTGGCAATTTCAATCCAATCCACCAATCCAATCCATCAATCCATTAAAAATATCCACCTAATCCAATCCATTTAAATCCAATCCATTTGATCCAAATCCAATTGGATTGGTGGATTCATGGATTGGATCCATGGATCATTGGCAAATTACGGTTTAGTACCTATAATTTTTATTTTTTACATTTTGGTACCTAAAATTTAATTTTTTATACGAAAAATATCATTGGAAAATTACGTTTTGGTACCTAAAATTTTTCATTGTGACATTTTAGTACCTAAACTTTTTACATTTTACATATTGGTCCTTGGTTGAGGATGTCATTTGGATTCATGGATAATCCACCAATCCACTTGATCCAATCCATGAATCCACCAATCCATTAGATCTCCATTTGATCCATGGATCCACCAATCCAATCCACCAATCCAATCCATTTGCCACCTCTACAACCAGCAGCTCGCAGGCCGTGGCAGATGAAAGAAACCAAGAGGAGCCAGAGAAAGCAAAGTAAAGAAAGAGAGGGCAAGCTGACAAGCTGGCAAGAGCAAAACGGCAATCAGAACATCATGAAGCCGGGTAACAAAACACCAGCAGCACAGCAGACAGATCCTCATCAGAGAGACAAACAGCAACCGGCAAATGGTCATGAATGTAATAGATTATTGGCGGCTGGGGCAACTGGGGCAATAGTGTCATCAAACTCCACCGCGTCGCTTGGCAGGGCAGGCTCGTCAACATGTCCAGGACATAGGTGACTCTTGAAGGCACGCAACCAGGAGTTGGCGATCTCCCTGTCAACAATCTGGGCAGCGCTCAGCCAATCAGCGATGCAGCGGACAATCTGAAAGGCGACAACCTGAGCAGACACCCCCTCATCTCTGAAAATCCTGGAGTTGCGTTCTAACCAGATGCGCCAACAGAAGGCGTGGAGGAAAATCAGGGAACACCACCCTTTAGGAGTGGCCGGTTTCGCAGAAGGCCACCTCCTTATCAGGTCTGAGATGTCAATGGCTGAAACCTTGAGCTCAACAAAGGTCGAGAGAATCCGCCAAATGTCCTTCGAGAATCTGCAAATGAGGAAGAGATGATCGATCGACTCCTCCTGATAACCACACAACACACAACGACTTGGGAGAGCCCATCCTCTACGTTTGAGCGCCTCTTGAGTAAGAATTTTCTTCTGAAACACGATCCACAAAAACACAAAATCTTCGGAGGAACCTCATGTCGCCATACAACTTTGGGAGGAAAAGAAGTCGAGTCAGGGAAACGATCCTTAATGCACTTGGTGTAGCAAGAGTGGGCATTGAACCCAGTAGTTGGGGAAGGATCCCAAACCAGCCGAGAAGGACCTGCAAAGAAAGTATCAGCGGGTAATGCACTAAGCAAATTTAATAAGGAAACTCTCTCACACTCAGCCCCCCTCTCAAAGAAAATTTCAATGGAATATCCCACAAGACTCTCCCCTCAGACAAAGTGACGACATCAGAAATCCCGCGATTAGGCGATTCCGCAGCAGCAACGACCCTATGGAATTCTTCGCCAAGAAGCCGTCCATTTAACCACACTTCATGCCAAAAGAAAACCCCTGACCCTGCACCAGTTTCCACGTGAGCAAAACTCTAGAACACTTTCTTAGTCTCCAATTTGCACCCAAGGACTCACTCCACAAGGACCGAGTCGAGTCCCCGACATCCACTCAGACGTGGAATTAGGGAACTTGATCGAAATAAGTTCCCTCCACCAAGTATCCCGCTCCACAGCAAAGCGCCACCACCATTTACACAACATGGACTGATTACGGAGCCTCAGGTCAGAAATACCTAAGCCTCCTAAGCGTTTCGGAGCCTTGCACACATCCCAGCAAACAAGATGAAATCTCCTCTCACTCTGGCGGCCAGACCAAACAAAATTCCACTGCAGCTTCTCAAACTTATCAATGATCGAACACGGAGCAGAGAAAATACTGAACATGTAGATAGGTTAACTTGCTAAAACCTCATTACATAAAGTGACACGCCCAGCCAAAGAAAGATAAGAAGCTAACCATACCTCCAACCGCCGACCCATTTTACTCAGAATAGGATTCCAAATAGAAGAAGAAGTAGGGGACGCAGCAAGCGGAAGCCCAAGGTACTCCGTGGGGAGATACTTCCACTCACAACCAACAATCTCCGCAAATCTATCCAAACACTCAACCTCACCCACCGGGAAAAGCTTACTCTTCTCAAAATTCATCTTAAGATCAGTGATGCTTTGAAACCACAAGAGGGCAGCAGTAAAGTGAAAGACCTCCGCCTCCGAAGCATCACAAAAAATAATTGCATCATCCGCATACAATAAATGGTCCACTTCTCCTGTTCTATTCTTCTCATCCATACAGAAACCAGTAATGAGACGAGCCTCCCTAGCCTCGTCCAAGATAAAGGACAGGATGTCCATGACAATTATAATAGCCAAATGTTAACTTCCCTTAAGCATCTTTGTTATTAATATTAACTTGATAACACGATAGTGACTTGGAAGAGATACATGACGGTGAACATTCCAAAAATTTTGTATTTTAAATAAGAAATGAGTTACAAAATTACTAATAATACCAGACAAACGATTTGACTAATAAATTGGAACATTTGGTTAATAATTTGTATGTTTGAAAGGTTTGACTAATAAATTATATTTACACAATTTTATATTTATGTTCACCTTAAATTATAGATTTCTAGTATTCATAGCTAAATGTCAAAGTTTTAAACATACTCTTATGTTAAAATGATATACAGAACTCCATATGTATAAATATTGCAACTTACCCATACAATATATTACTAATGGTAATCACATCACCCAATAAAAT